GAGGCCAGCAGGACGAGGGCAGTGACCCTCCTCTGGTACTCAGCACTGGTGAGGCTGCACTTTAAATACTGGGTTTGGTTTTGGGCCCCTCACTACAAGACAGACATGGAAGTGCTGGAGCAAGTCCAGAGAAGGGTAACAAAGCTGGTGAAGGGTCTGGAGCACAAGTCCTGTGAGAAGTGGCTGAGAGAGCTGGGGGTGTTTAGCCTGGAGAAAAGGAGGCTCAGGGGGGGACCTTATTGCCCCCTACAACTACCAGAGAGGAGTCACAGCCATGTGGGTGTGGGACTCTTCTCCAGAGTAAGAAGCAACAGAAAGGAGAGGAAATGGTCTCATGGTGTGGCAGGGGAAATTTAGACCAGATATAAGGAAAAAATTCTTCAGGAATGCCCAGGGGACTAGTTGATTCACCACTCCTGGAGGCATTTAAAAGGCATGGATGTGACACTGGTTTAGTGATTGTCACTCTTTAGTTAACAGTAGGACTTTATCCCAAAGATCTCTTGCAATCTAAAGGTTCCTATCTTTCTATGCATATGAGTTTCTTTGATAATAAAACTATCTATCATGTTTTAATAAAATAAGAGTGAAAGCAAACACTAAATTTAAGAACTGACAAAACACAAACACATTTGGCTTTCCCACCACAGATTCCACCCACATTAGATGTCAGCCACCATTTGTGCAAACAGATACCTCTCACAGGGTGCTCTGAAAAGTTCTGGGAGCGTGGTACGCACATGTGCCTGAACTGTTTACCATCATTGGAGAATCTACTATGTCCTACTTTATATTTAGAATAAATTAGGGCAATATTTAGAACTATCACACACCTAGATTTCCTTGAATGAATTCTCTTCTTCCATGCAGAGGTTGCCTCTTGCTGAATCCCTAGAGCTTGAGAGATTTGTAAAGACTTGTTTTTAAGACCCTCAATTGTTTGGGGAAGGGGCAGACAGAACCCCAGCTTCAGCACAGGTCGCCTCTCTGGTGCCTGTTCTGGGTGGGGGTAAAACAACCCCAGGGATGACAAGCTTTCCTGAGTCTCTTCAGATTGGTCCTTTGGCAGACTGCAGGTGTGACAGTATTGCCATAAGGAACACATGGGCAGTGGTACTGTTAGATTTTGTAAATTTATCTGTAAAGCCTCTGGACACACAGAATCAGCCAGTAGCACTCTGCTTCACATCTGCTCCATGCTGGGTAACAAATTATAGGAGCCCTTTCAAACATGCCCTTAAGGCCTACTCCTTAGAATTGCACTGAGAAACATCAACTGAACATGAAGGTAAAAAAGTACTCTAACTGTCCCTCACTATAGAAGACACTTAAATTGGACAATCAGTGTAGAAAGGTTGGCCTAAGTTGCACGCCACAAAATACAGCTTTATTTGGACCTCTGTAGGTGACATAGTTGACTCTGTTACAATACTATCACAACTGTTCTCTTTTTATAAGCCACATTTCCCAGAGCCTTCAAACTGCACCATGTAACTGAGATGGTTTTGAGAAAGAATTGGTGGTTTGAACAGTCTAGAACATTTTTTATGTCATTTTTTATAATAATAAAATAATTATAATCCCTGGGTTTAGTGGAGGAGTTATTTAACAGCCATTTAAAAATCATGACTTCATAAAAACATTGGCATTTCAAGAATTGTTTTTCTCTAACATTTTAAGCAATTTTGACCTTTCATTATTAGGGAAAATAGCAATATACCAAATATTTTAATCCAAAACATATAGGAAACTTCTTTTTTTTCCTCTCCAAAGTGTATTTCCTAAGACAGGCAGGAGGTCCTGTCATGGAGATATAGCTTTGAACTGTCTGCTACACTGATCTCAGGACTGGCAATAAGTGTTATAAATTGAGACATCTTTGCAGTTACAGAAGCCTGGTATTCACAGCAAGAGTGAAGAAGGGTCTCTTACATAATGTGGAAAAAATATCGTGAGTTTCAGAAAAAATTTAATAACACAATAAGAAAGAATTGTTCATCCTATTCACAGAAAAAGGCAGAGGCCATCTGTTAAACTGGTGCTCGGTTATGTCACTAAAGAGAGTTTCAATGTCTGTGAAGACCTGTACAAAATTCACTCTGAAAAATATGTCTAATTCTGGCGCAACCTAAATTTCAGGTAAACACATTTGTAATCTAAGCTATGTCCATTTAACACTGTTCTCATGCGCTATTTCCTGAGCTTCTAAAGAATGAACTCACCTGTCAGTGTCAGCTCCTGACCATGGTCTTAGCACATCTCATCCCACCAAACACCATCCCAGCCCTTCATGTCAATGCTTCCAGGTCCACATTCCTTGCTCAGGGAGTCCCAATCCCTCTTTGCAAAAAATGCCACTCCAGTGGTTAAAGAGCAGGGGAGAAGTAGGAGGGTCTGAGGATATTATTCCATTATGTGACGTGTTCTGCTGAGCCTGGCACAGCAGGCTCTGGTTCCAGGTACAGGAGTTACTGCTGGAATCACTTCCCCCCAGCCCAGGACCCCCAGCACAGGCTGGAGCAGACACAGTCAAAGCAGTCACATCCTTCCCCACTTCAAGCAGCTGCTCTTCTCCTTTATGAAAAACCAAAGCTGTTCTCCACATCAGTTCCAGCTGCAGGCCACCATTAGGCCACTTTGACACAGTTACAGCCTGTATGTCATAACAAAATGCTTACGCTAATTCAATCCAGATTAACAAAGCATAGTAGGGAGCTTTTTTTTTTTCCCCTGCAAAATCTTTGCAAGCTTTTAAAATTAATTTGTATAACATATATTTAGCTTCATTCACTCCCTCAGAAAGCAGGACAGACATGACATTGTCATTATTATTAACTATTGTAATCAATAAGAATGTTTTCTTTGACACTTAAAATGCAAAATTATTTAAGTGAAAGCTGTAAGTTTTATTAGATCATTATTATGACAGAGAGTCTAGAATTGTAGAGCATGTTTTAAATTCCCATCTGAAAGGAGCAGAAGGCCTAATATGTAGACCAGACCTACTTCTTGTCAAAGTCTGGCGCATCCCTGAGACCCAGCTGTGAATGGAAAGGTTCCTATCCTGAAAGGCCCTCAGCTGTCATGGATTTTTCAGGTGGGCAGAAAAGTGGCAACAAGAAGTCCAAGGGCAATCAAAGAGAGACATCAGGCTTTAGGATGACAGGTTAAGGAATCAGGAGTACAAGTGGGCTTCTCCTCTGTTCTCCCAGTTGCAGGAAATGAGGAGGGAAGAGAGGGAGATCCAGCAGATCAATACTTGACTCTGAGCCCAGCATCACCAGAAGAATTTTGTGGGGTTTTGATCATGTTTACAATTTACATGGCACCAGGCCTGCTGATGACAAATGGGGGGGTCACCTGTCTCAAAAGGGGAAAAGGATTTTTCTCAGGCATTAGCAGGGCTCATAGAGAGAGCTTTAAACTAGGTCTGAAGGGGATACCAGACTTGATACAGATAAACCAGGCAGCACCATTCCAGTGTCTGAGAGACATTTTGCTAGTGGAGTCCTACATTGTGCTGTCTCCACGGAGGTAGAGGATAGAGAGCCATGCAGCAGCAGACACAGACAAGGGTTATTGATGTGTTAGAAGAAATGCTCATGCTAAATTAGTGGTAATCAGTAATCTTGCAGGTCTTTTCCAACCTGTGCTTTTATAATCCTAAATGTATATGCTTTGTGTGTTATGTGTACAACAAATATATTGTCTATATTATCTTTTATACTACATTTCCTACACTGAATTGCCTTAAATAAACATTTTGTTACTACTTCCCCTGTATTGATTAGTCCTATTTTCCTCAAGGTTGCTTCTAAGAACAAAATCATGAACACCATGAAGTTGGTATAAGTTTTTTCTACACATCAGGAAGACTAAGGGGGTCAAGGTTTCAGCAGAGTTGTTTTACATAAGTACACACAACTGTCTACTTTGACAGAGTGAAATTTCCTTTCATTCTACACTGTCTTGCTCCTTGCTTATCAGACCATGGTTATGGATATTGACATATGAAAATTCAGAGTTATTTCACTTACTCAAGTTAATTACTTGCTTCAGAACCAATTTGATAGCAATAATAATAATAATAAGTAGTATTAAATTTTCTGTTCACAATCCACAACAGCAGATAACCATTCAGGGGAAGTAATAAAGGTTCACTGGTATACGAGTAATAACTCAAAAAAAGGTTAAAACAACATACATTAAGGTAAGCAAACTAATAATATTCATTTGATTGAGCTAAAATTCATGGTCCCCAATAGTTTCATATTTAATTAGAAATTATCCTCTTATAGGCTGGGAAGTAATTTCAATCAATCTTAGTTTTCTTTCTGACATTGGAGTAACTACAAAACTATTTCTAAAAAGTACTAAAACCAAAAATCATCCTATTGCCACAAGAAAAATAAATCTCCATTGGGGTAAACCACGTCAGTCATTTTAAATTTGTGTCAAAACTTCAGTGGGTTAACTTTATAGACACAGGTCTTTTTTCAGATCAGATATTCTTTAACCTGCAGCAGAGAGCATGAAACTGGCAAAAGGGCTGTATCATGTGCTCCCACACTTGATCCAGATCAAATATGCACTCATTGTGATCCAGGAGCACGCAAATCTGGTATTAAAGAACATGAAACCGTGGCCTTATATGACAGCCCAGCTTTAGATATTTTGCAGATTTCATTGATAGGTTTTTCAGTAGGCATGTTTTTTCCTTTATCTTATCCAAATACTTGTAGGAGATGTGATGTTCTTTTCCACGTAAATCATTAAATTTATGATTTAATAAATTAATAAAAGGGAAGGAGTTAATTTCAACTCTGTAAATGAAACACAAAATCAGAAAAAAAATCCCAGTTCCCATTACAACAAAGCTGAGTCATCTGTGAAGGGCTGTAGATGTGTGGCTGCAACCAATTTAAATAGATAAATGTCCAAAGTAATAGAAACCAAATCAAATCTACATAGTGAAGCAATCAAAAAATTAGAAATCTTACCTTTTTCACTAACACTTTCACTTTCAATCTCTACATCATCACAACTTGTATATTCTGGCGTGGATGCCAATTCTTCTTCTGAGCTACTTAATGAAACCTGGCGCATTTTACCTCCTTTTTTCGTTTTATGGGGCTTTGGTGGTGGAGGTCTGACAGATTCAGACTGGTCCGAGCTGAGTGAATCATTCCGTAACATGGTCTCCATCTTTTCACGTTTTGTTTTCCGGACAGCAGAACTGGGATCCAAATGATGCTGTTTCCTTAAAGAATCAGAGCGCCTCATGTCTGGTCTTTCCAGAGGAATTGGACTCCTCCTAGGTGTAGGAGGGCTATGATTTGTGGTCCTCTGACGATTGGGACTTGGTCCCTGAGCCTCTCGAGTTCTTTCCATAGAGTATGAACGTTGGTTTTCCATGGCGGCCCTGCGCTCAGACACGGATCTTTGTCTTGATGGCCGTTCCATCCTGAGCATGGACATCCGGGAATCTTCCAGCTCTGTATTTGCCAGGGAGACATCGCTATGCCTGCGTTCATGCCGCGCTCGGGACACTTCAGCGTGGATACGCATTTGCTCCTCATATGGCTGCGGCTTGACTGGATAACGAGCCAAATTAGGATCACTCCGGTATCGTGCCTGGTATTCCTCTTCCCTCCTTTGCCTCTCATATTCTTCCCTGCTTTGTGCATCTTCTTCTTCTACCGGATACTCCTTGGAACGCCTGCGGCTCCTTCTGTTGGAATCTCTATAATCACCCAGTTCAGGTTCTTCGTATAACTGGGGCCCACGCTGTGACCGCCTATCTGAATAATCTGATGGTGACCTGGGCATCGCACTGTCTGATGTAGCATACTGTGAATATTCGTCTCTCTCGTCCCTTTGGTCGTATCTTCTGCTCTGTTCTCTTGATATTGAAGGGCTTCTTTTCCTAAATAATCATGACAAGAAAGCAGAAAGAGAATTCTGTCAATATTTTATGCAGCACAAATATACAGTTAATGCTAGTTAAAAGATAAAATGACCAGCTGATGGAAAAAAATACGTTCATTGCATTTTTTGTGAATGTGCTCTCACATTTTCTGTACTAAATTAAAGAAAGGATGTCATGTTATAAATCTGCTTACAGTGCACAGTTTGAATAAAAAACAGTTTTGAAGAAAAAATGCTAATGTGACTTTATAAAATATAGAATACAAATACTTAGGCTACTTGGTAGTCATGACTGCTTTACAAGTACCAAAATTTTATAATCCTTTGTAATCATTTTACAGCAATATAAATTGACCATACACTTCTGTTTAATGGAGTTTTATAATCACCATGGAAATTAGGGCTAGAAGGATCATTCAGTTACTCTTTTAGCAGCTGTTATTGCTCAAAAACACACGTTAGTTCCCACAAAACTATAATTTGTGCCAAAGGCAGAACACAGACAAAGTTTCAATGGTGGCACTTTTCTAAATCAGATTAACTCAGAAGTCCTGAACTCAGAAAACAAACCACAGTTTTGTGTTGTGAAGGGAAAGAGTTTCAAAGTGCTGCCTGAGCTGAGAAAGAATCCTTCTCATCTCTTTAGGGATGGTAGCAGTATTAGTCCAAGCATTTGAGCAAGACAAATACCAGAATGGAGTTCCTGTGCCATCTAAAGCATTAACTCATTGATGTCATTTATACCATCTAGCTATAGGCAGCTACTGAGGCTTCAGAGGAAGCCTTCTTTCCTGACACTGACAAATGATAGATTGAAGTATGTGATTAATTTATATGTAATATTTTCATAAAGAGTGTGTCTGGAACATACAATGAATGTTATGTTTTCTGTTTGACACAACATTGTTTGCTACATGACTAGAAGGGATCAGTTAAAAGGAAAAAAACCAAACTGGGTCTTCAAATCTTGCATTTATCAATCCTTACAGGTTAATAAGTGTGTAAAATGCTACTTTCCAGACATGTCCTGATTCATGCTTGGCTTTTCACCCTACATGGATCTGAAGAAGTTACCTGCAGAAAACCGGAGCAGAGATTGCAGATAAAAGAGACTGAGAGGTGGGCCTTCTCTGGGATAACATATATCAACTCAAACTTTAAGTAATAAAAATACAAATGAGAAGCTATTTTGGTATTGTTAGTGTCCTTTCTTCTTATAGTTAGTTCTACCTTTATAATTAAGATTCCTTTTAAAACATTTTCTACACTCACAAAATGACCACTGATTCTGAAGGGCAGCCTTGCAGGCAGCAGCCAGGAGATCCTGTCTAGTGTTTAGAAGGACAGCAAAAAAGACAAGCAAATACAAAGCCCTGTTTTTGTCACAGTTGACCAAGAAGAAGAAAGAAAACACTTCAACTCTGTGAAGGGGAGAACAAGAAAGAGGTTCTCCTTGGTGCCCAGGAAAGTATAAAAGGCTCTGTCTATCTGATAGGAGAGAAAACATTATTTTCACAGCCAGGAAGGAAATGCAGTCTCTGGACTTGAACAAGGAAAAACAAGCAAAAACAACAACTGCCAGTGCAGAGTGTGCATGGCCTGTGGGGTGACTGGCAAACTGGCATCCTGTACTGTTTTAGGTACCATACAGAATTATTAAACTGTGCTTGAAAGATTTGGACCCAGTATTGCCTTGTAAATAGTAAAGTACTTTAGCTTTGTAATGGCATCTACAAATGAGAAAACTAATTCAATCTCGCAAAATGAAACTCTTTGTGTGAAGCATGACAAGTTCTATAAGCATCCTGCAGATGCCTATTTGCTTACAGTGAAGCTAAGACGTCCCATCTGTCTTGTTACAGTGGCGTGTTAGTACCAGCACAAATTATAACCTCTGTACATTTTACAAAATCTCTACAGGTTCTGCTACTGGGGACTCAACTTGAATCGCTCTAATGTAACATGAACAGCGTTTCAGAAGGCTAAAACCAGAATGGCCAACAGGAAGGGACAAGTGGAACAACAGAACTACACAAATGCAGACACAGAAGACATAGAAGCTTCTTTAAAACAACAGAGATTAGACGCAGAAATGATTTAAGGAAGATAAATATTTTTCACTTAAATACTTCAGATGATGAAAAATTATGCCACATCCCAAAATAAGTTGTTCCAACAGCAAATTACTCAATCCCTGAAAATTTCTGTCATGGCTGTAGCAAAACTGTGCATAACTTCCTCTCCCCAGTTGTGTCCCCCATATAAGAAAAATATGCACTCATCAGATACAGACATTAATCTTTGTGAATCTCATTGCAAGATCGAGACAAACACATGTACACATGAAATGTACACATAATGACTTTTAATACAAATAATGACTGTTAATACTCACACTGTGTATACTCAGTCTATATAACCTACAGATCATGTGTCTCCAGAGCCACATTGTTTGCATCAATTTGATCCTCCAAAGCATTAAAACGTTCTAGAACATATGGTTTATAAGATCAACTCCATGATGAACAGTGTAACACACAAAGCCATACAGATTCTGGTTTCACAAATCTCATGTGTGCCTTGGAGCAGCCTGAGTGTACACATGCTTCAACAATAAAAATCTACATACTTGTATCTACAGCAATACAAGAAATCAACAGTAAGAACTGGTTTAGCTACAAATAGAAGATTATATAAACATACACAAAACATGTGTGTGTGTGTGTGTGTGTGTGTATATACATATAAATAAATATATCCATGTTACAGTGTCCTCATACAGATTCAATCCTTTTCTGATGACATTATGGTTATAATGTAATAGGAGGAAGGCTGAGGGGGATAAAACAGAGGGATTTCTGTGCAAGTGAAAACATAACAGTTGACTTGTTTCTGAGGAAAATGTATGTCCATTAAGGAAATGCATCATCAGATGAACTGGCACATGACTTACTAAAAAAGTACACCTGTTTTTTCTAGCATTAACTATGTTAATGAGAGGAGAATGTGTTCATTTAGCACTATATTTTTATACCGCTTGTACAAACATTCTCCAACCTCATGTGCTACATCTACTACAAACAGTAATTTTTCTTCCTTAATTTAAGATATAAAAATAGGAAACCATCTATGGCTGACAGTAATGTGAAGAGCAGCTGGGTCTTCAATCTACTCTAGCCTTTTATGAAGGAAAAAGCTTTGCATGGCTGCTCTGTGTGTGGCAGCTACTAGGGCACATGCAAGAAAAAGGACCTACCTGGAAATATAGTGCTTTTCTTCAGAGAAAGCAGCCTAACAGAAAAAATTGAATTCCTGGCCTATGTTGACTGACATCATCAAACCCCCTCTCTAATTAATTTCACTCCTTTTGAAGTCAACTTACTTAACTACTGAAGTTACTGAACTAACCAGAAGTTATAGTCCTGTCCATCAGAAATAAATTAACTCTACCTGTACACCTGATCTGCCAGAAACCTGCTGCCAGGAGAGGGCTCATCCTGCCCCACAGTCACCAGACCCTTAGTATTAAAGTCTGTCATTCTCTACTGATCATCACAGCACAATGAGCCTTCCTTTAATATTCAACAATTTTTTAATTTTAAAAATACCTGCTATATACAGAGCTGTACAATGAATGCCATACATTTTAAATCAGAGTTATGAAATCACAGTAGGAGGCAACTAGTACTGATGAAAACTTATGGCTTGTCCCTACTATTAAAAATCTGCTGCTATTTTTAGATCACTAGCTAATTCTCACTCACCTTCATGAGCATCTGTCTAATCCATTTCTCACCATAAACTACCTTAAAGATGCCTTAATAAAACCCTTTCATCAAGTACCCCCAGCTGGATCCGCCATGGAAAATGACTACTCCTGCCTTTCCAGGACTTCCCTGGAACTTTAAAAGCTAAGTGAACTTTAAGGGTGTGATATGCACCCTCCACCTGCCATATGAACTAAGCACTATATACCTCTTGTCAGAAGGATTGCCACATTTTCTGAAAAGGTTATCACACCTATTCTGAAAAATCCTCCAGGCCATTGTGATTGCTACTTGTTTGAAATCACCATAAAATAAAATCTCTATTATGGTTTAAAAATCTCTTTGTCAGGCACATTCTATAAATGGGGGGTTTTTTTTCAGATACAGAATATGAAACTTATTTTTTCCTACCAATTACTGTATATTTATTTTTATTGTAATTTATCAATACATGACATTTGGTCTTTTAATACACAACCCATAACCCTGCACTGATGGAAAACTTATTTCCAGTGCACTACAGATATCACTAATATAATGGAAAAGCAAATACCTTGACTGCAATCTGTACTCCTGCTCATAAAGTTAAATTATTCAACTCCCCTACATCACAATAGAATTAAGTGCTTAAAATATAACATAGAAGAATATAAGGCAGCTATTCAGCTTTGATGGCTGTGACTTCCATAATGGAACTAAATATCTTGAAACTTTGACATTCGCTTTTATTCTGCGATAAAGAGAAAACACTCTTCTGCTTTGATTTAGGTTTTTAGAAAACTGACCCAAATGTACTGTAGAAAAGGATATTTTTTTAATTAAGTATGCATCACATTTCAGAAGTCAGAGACATTAAAAAACATTTTAATATGTAAAGTATTTATATCACTGTCAAAACTAGATATCAGACCCTCCTGCTAATAATCTTTTCCTTAGACTAATAGAATACACATTTGAACTGGAGAAAACCTTCCTGAAAATATAATTTTAAAGTTGTGTTTGATCACCTGTGTTTGGCCACCTGCATTTACTTGAAGAAGCTTTGGGTCAATTAAAAAATTATAATTTGGGTCAATTAAACAATGCTCTCAGTGTGCCTGAGCCATCAGCTACTTGGAAATGAATACTAGCCATCTACTTGTAAGACCTAATTATAATTTACTAGACAATACTTTCAAATTTTGTTATCTCTTTCCTACAAATTATCAAGGAATAAAGTTGAATGGAAAAT